CAAGTCATAAAGGTTATCGCCGTTAACTTTCAAGTCTGTGAAGTCGTCCGTTGGATGCACACATACCTCTGTCCTCGCTTTATTTTCCACTTTACATGTCAATTACTTTCATTGAATCAATTTGTTATCTGCATTATAGGTGCGCTGAGGACCGACCTTCATTCTAAGCAAATCACTTTTTGAATATTGTGATTTAAATTTTGATTTAAAGGGCCCATCTTACACTATTTTTTATTTCTGATCTGTGTTGTTTTAAACTCTAGACACCTTCACTAGAACCATTTGGATCATTTCAGCCCTGCAATTGTCAATCTCTACCAGTGTTGGGAGTGTTACTTTTAAAATGTAATCCCCTACAGATTACAGATTACATACACCAAAATGTAGTTTGTAATGTAATCCATTAAATTACTTAAAGTGAGTAATGTAATCTGAATACTTTGGATTACTTGGTTTGTTGTAGAGAAACAAAGACGAGGAAATCTTCACATTAGATGTTTTGTCTGATAAAAGAAAATAAAAAGGCAGAGTCTTTAAAAATATTATTGATAGAAGAGGAGGAGACACGGTCGGCGCAGCATGATTTAGTCCTGTTAAATCCTGTTTTAGACCTGGTTTAGTCCTGTTAAATCCTGTTTTAGACCTGGTTTAGTCCTGTTAAATCCTGTTTTTAGACCTGGTTTAGTCCTGGTTTAAATCCTGTTTTAGACCTGGTTTAGTCCTGGTTTAAGTCCTTGTTTAGTCCTGGTTTAGACCTGGTTTAGACCTGGTTTTAGACCTGGTTTAGTCCTGTTTAGTCCTTGTTTAGTCCTGTTTTAGTCCTGGTTTTAGTCCTGGTTTAGTCCTTGTTTAGTCCTGTTTCCTGGTTTAGTCCTGGTTTAGTCCTTGTTTTAGTCCTGGTTTAGTCCTGGTTTAGTGTTTAGTCCTTGGTTTAGTTTAGTCCTGGTTTAGTCCTGGTTTAGACCTGGTTTAGTCCTGGTTTAGTCCTGGTTTAGTCCTGGTTTAGTCCTGGTTTAGACCCTGGTTTAGACCTGGTTTAGTCCCTGGTTTAGTCCTTGTTTAGTCTTGTTTAGTCCTGTTTAGTCCTTGGTTTAGTCCTGGTTTAGTCCTGGTTTAGTCCTGGTTTAGTCCTTGTTTAGTCCTGGTTTAGTCCTGGTTTAGACCTGGTTTAGTCCTGGTTTAGTCCTGGTTTAGACCTGGTTTAGACCTGGTTTAGTGTCCGGCAATGAGTGGAATTACAGAGAAAAAAAAAAGGGATATAGCCCCAAATGTGGAAACAGGAACATATCACCGTGTAATCCATTTACTTCAACAAAGTAACTGTAATCCAGTTACCTCTCATTGAAACAGTAACTGTAACTGAATACAGTTACTCATAATTTGTACTCTGATTACATAACTCCAGTACATGTAATCTGTTACTCCCCAACACTGATCTCTACTGAACAAAAAGGTAAAAGGCAGGTGTTAACTTGAAAACTACCACTTTGCAGAGCATTTTGAGCATTGGAGATTCAGCAGATTAATAAAGCAGGATTACTCAGACATGTGTGAATGAAACAAAACACAACTCCGGGTCTGTTTTTGAGGAGGTAACAACATTACAACGTGATTTAAAGCTCACAAGAGTCAATTTTGTGTAATATAGAACCTTTAAATTACTGTGAATAACTCCAATTTGTGGGCAGTTCCAAAAGTATTGAAATATATAATTTGGTTAGGGTGACCAGATTTTAAAATTCTTAACTGGGACACACCCGGGTTGGGCGGCTGGTATAAATAAAACTGTGAAAAGAGGGTGTAAGATTGTGCTTTTTTGTGTCAGTCATAATTTGAGGGACTTCTATCACAGATTTTTTTTGGATTATGGTCATTAACAAAGACAGTTTTATGTATTTTGGCAAAACAAATACCAATTTAGACTCCTCTTTTCTGCTGGTGGGGATCAGATTAGTCCAAAATTGTGATAGTCGTCTGTTTTAGTCCTGGTTTAGAACTGATGTAGTCCTTGTTTTGTCTTAGTTTAGTCCTGGTTTAGATCAGATTGGTCAAAAACAGGGACATCTGGGACATTTCTTGTATAAAACTGGGACAAATCAGTGGTTTTGGATAAATCTGCTGTGACGGGGGACACAGGGCTCAAAACTGGAACTGTCCCGGGTAAATAGGAACGTCTGGTCACCCTGAATTTAGTTAAAAAAGTAGCAAGAAAACTCAGCTGACATTGAATAATAATACGTTCTATAATAAAACATGGGTACAGAGCAGCCAGAAGAAGTGAGAAGAGGCTGGATGTGTGACAGAGGTGAGAAGAGACTGTTAGCAGCAGCAGCTCGATGTGACAACACCACACTACAATATGCACCAGGCACCAGGCTGAACCACCACAGGCAAGACTCCAGTGCGCCGACATGAGTAATGCTAACTCCAACTAACACCGATACTAATACGGAGAATTAGCTCACAAAAGAGGCGCGCGCACAAGAGAACACTCCAACTCCCCGCAACAATGATAAATGTGAGAGCATGTGGAGAGAGAGAAGGGGCGTGGTTTTGTTTTGATCTGTTTTATTTGATCTTTTTTATTAGTTTTGTGTAAATTTGTGCTATTTTTGTATGGTTAAATATTAAAAATCTATTAAAATATATAAATAAAACCAATCCTCGCAACAATTCAAATTCAGCGCAAACTCCTTATCCCACCTTCTGTATACAGCCCTATATGTATATTTTGTTTTTATTTTATTTTGTACATTATAAAAGCACAACCACACAATCTATCTGCCAGTCGTTCACATAAAAACAAACAAACAAAAAAGCAAAAACAAAAAAAAACTATTAGAGATCAACCTAATGTTAGAAAATTAAGTTATAGCCATCCATACATCTTTTTTTTTTTCCCAACCCAAATATAAATATATATAAACATATATATATACATATACAGCCCTAGATATATTTAGGTATATTTTAACTTTTTAAATTTTTTTATTTTACTGTACAAAATATATATTCTTGTATATTCTTGTGTTACTATTACTTACAATTTTATATTTATTTGTTTGTTTGTTTTTTTGTCAAGTTTTGTTTTGTTAAATTTTAAAATAAAATGAATGGAAAAAAAAAAAATAAAAAAAAATTGCAAATTAAATTTCTTATTCCACCTCTTATATACAGCAGGTTTTATTACCTTGTATTTTATTCTACTTAGTACATATTTATTCTTATTTGACACGTGTTACTATTACTTACTATGAATAACTTACTTACTGTACTTTATTATTTTATATTTATTTATTTGTTTGTTTGTTTCTTTTTCGTCATTTTTTTAAATTTTGGTTTTGTTAAATATTGAAATTTATAAAAAAAAAAAAAAAAAAAAAAAGCATTAAACTCCTTATTCCACCTCTTATATACAGCATAGATATATTTAGATATGTTTTATTAACTTGTATTTTGTACCTTAATTGACATGTGTTACTATTACTTACTATGAATTACTTAGTTACCATTTTTGCCACTTTAAAGATGCATTGTCTAACTTTTTTTTGTACAGCTCATATCTGTGGAGAAGCAATCCCGCTCACAGTCAGAATGCTGGGTTTTCTCTATATTTTTGAGCTATAAAACCACTAATATTCTAATAAATGTAAGGTGGAGCTGTTTAATGTCACACTGTGGAACATTCCAGGCAGAGCAATGACATATCAATAGAAACAAGCAGGTGACAGACCCCCAACCGAAAAGTTACATACTGCACCTTTAATTATTTTCAATGTTTATTATTATATTGTCTAATAAGAGCTACTGTTTCCAAGTAATTTCCTTCCTGTGAATCAATCATTTTTGTCTAGATGTTAAAATAAGTCTAAATCCAGCTCGTAGATTCAGCAAAAAATATTACTAATAAAGCAACTTCAATAAAGCAGAAATACATAAATAAAACTGCACTAAAACAGGACTAAACCAGGAATAAAACAGGACTAAACAGGACTAAACCAGGACTAAACTAGGACTAAACGACTAAACTAGGACTAAACCAGGACTAAACTAGGACTAAACCACTAAACTAGGATTAAACCAGGACTAAACTAGGACTAAACCACTAAACTAGGACTAAACCAGGACTAAACTAAGACTAAACTAGGACTAAACCAGGACTAGGCCTAAAACAGGACTAAAACAGGACTAAACCAGGACTAAAACAGGACTAAACCAGGACTAAACTAGGATTAAACCACTAAACTAGGATTAAACCAGGACTAAACTAGGACTAAACCACTAAACTAGGACTAAACCAGGACTAAACTAAGACTAAACTAGGACTAAACCAGGACTAAACTAGGACTAAACCACTAAACTAGGATTAAACCAGGACTAAACTAGGACTAAACTAGGACTAAACGACTAAACTAGGACTAAACCAGGACTAAAACAGGACTAAAACAGGACTAAACCAGGACTAAAACAGGACTAAACCAGGACTAAAACAGGACTAAACTAGGATTAAACCACTAAACTAGGACTAAACTAGGACTAAACCACTAAACTAGGACTAAACCAAGACTAAACCGGGACTAGGCCAGGACAAAATCTGGACTGATTTAAGACTAATAAAGGTTCCATTCACACCACAACTGAACTGGGATTAAACTGGGACAAAACCTGGTACTATGCCAGGACTAGATCAGGACTTAATCAGTACTAGAAAAGGTCTAAACCAGGAACAAACCAGGACCAAACCAGCACGAGTGAACCCAGAAAAAAATCAGGTTTAAACAGTTATAAACCAAAACTAAACCATATTTTATCACCTGCTTTAGCACCATGTGGGCTGGAACAAGACTAAACCAGCACTAAACCAGTACTAAACCAGGACTCAATCTGGATTTACTGAGGACTAACAAGAATCTAAACAACAACAAGGACTAAACCTGGTGTAATCCAACTCCAAACCAGACCCACCAGACCCTCACACCCTGAATATTTGAGCTTCTTACCTGAATACGTGAGCTGCAGTCTGGGTTGAGATGCTTTCCACGCCTGGGCGCAACTCCACACCTGGATCCAACACAGTAACAAAACCAGTCTACCTCCAGTCCCCATCTTCAGTCTTGAGTTTTAGTCCAAAATCTGAAAAAACGATCAAAACAATTCACCAAAAACACATGAAAATTAATCCCAGAAAATGGTGTTGTCCATGAATGTCTAGATCCAGTTTGAATGAGATTAGATGAATGCAAAGTCTTATACAGTCCACATTTGAGGCTAGGAAAAAAATCTGGTGAAATGTCCAAAATGAAAAACAATGAGTGGAGTGATCTTGAGTTAAAATGATGAGCCTGTTTTAGTTTTTGAAATCATGCGTTTTGTTGTCTAAAAGTGCCGCAGGTTGGAGCAGCGTGAGAGCTCTGAGTAGAGTGGGAGGTTTTGGGCAGTAGCTGTGCATATGAGGCTTTCTCTCTCTCTCTCTCTCTTTCTCTCTTTTGGTGAAGGCAGGCACGAGGAGAGGAGGAAGGAGAGGAGGGAGGAGAAGAGGGAGGGGAGAGGGAGGGGGAGAGGGTGGAGAGGACGAGGAAGGGGGGGGGGGGGAAGGAGGAGAGGATAGAGAAGAAGCACGCTCTGAACTAGGCTTGTTTAAAGGTCCTATAATATTGCACACAGTTGACTCTTGTGAGCTTTAAAACGTGAGCTAAAATGTCGTTACCTCTTCAAAAACAGACCTGGGGTGGCGTTTTGTTTCATTCATTTTGTAGTTGTTGCTTTTTTGCTTATTTTGGTGGCTCTCTTCCTTTTGTGTTGTGTGCACTTGGTGGCACGGTTGAGTGGCTAGCACTTTCACAGCAAGAAGGTTCTGGGTTCGATCCCCGGGTCGCCCAGGCCTTTCTGTGTGGAGTTTGCTGTTTCTCCCCGTGTCTGGATGTTTCCTCCGGGTGCTCCGGTTTCCCCATCAACCCAAAACATGTTTCTCCATAAACAGTTGATAGTTTCAGTTAAATACTCAATTCAATCTTGTGTCTGTTTCACCCACATTGATAGTATGAAAGTGGTGTGTGTGTGAGTGCTGGTGGTGGTTGGAGGGACCCGATGGCGCCGAGTGGCATGGCAGCCGCACCTCTGTCAGTGAGCCCCAGGCAGCTGTGGCTACAATAGTAGCTTACCATCATCAGAGTGAATTGTGTGTTGAATGAATGCTTGAATAGTGCTGATAATGCTGTAAAGCGAGAAAATGTTGTGAAGCGCTATTGTTACTTACTTTTATTTTGACATTAGTCCTGTTTGCTTGTAGTTTGAGTTTTACTTCCTGTCTGTTGATAGATTGCCCCGCCCTAATGTGTTTCACCTGAGTTTGTGTGCTTTTATAGGCGAGTTTCATTGTTGACAAAAGCGCGCGTTGCATGCTGGGAATTATTTTGGTCGGCGGCAAGAAACACTAATTCAACATGACGGACGGAGCGAGAAGAAAGCACGTAAAGGGTATTGATCCCGGTTATTTATCCACTCTAACGGCAGACGACCCAAGACCATTTGACCAGAAATTGGTCATAAGCATCGACGGACGACAAATCACCCTTTTCAACCCCGACAAAAGGTTGGACCAAACCAAATTTCTGGTCGAATCGCCAACTACCTGGACAAATATTCACTTCGGCGATATCCACAATGACTTGGTGGAAACTCCTGGGCCATTCACAGCAGAAAAGATGAAAACCTCCAAGAGTCTCGATGTGTTGTTGAACTTGTTGGAGTCCACGGTTTGTTAGGATCTTCTACGTTTGCTCTGCGGAATGTTTGAAAGCCGTTTAATTCACCGTTAGCGGTTCTTTTCACTCAGAATACGAAAAAGACATTTTCCTTCTTCCGTGCTTCTATTTGTGCATCCGATAATGCGGCAGGAATTTACCATTATCGGGGATAAATACGAGAGGTTACGCACTGTGTTTGACGCTATCGTGGTTCTTGCCTCCGACCAAAATATTTCCCAGCATGCAACGCGGGCTTTTAATAACAATGACGTCAGCTGAAACTCACCTATACTCTGTGTACTTCTCTGCCCTTTGTTGGTCCATTGTATCGGCCATTGTCTTGTTCTTTCATGGCAGTTTAGTTTCTACTTTTGGATTTTTTGGATTTGTGGATTTTTTTTTGGATTTGTTTTTAAATACTTTAAAGCAGTCCTGCATTTTAGATCCTCCCTCTGTTTCTACCTGACAACATGTTTGAGTAACCCCTCTGTCTATGACTAAAGCTCAAAATGCTCTGTTCCACCTTGTGATGTAATGTAGAGATAATTTAGTTCAGTGGAGATTAGCAATTCCAGGTCTGAAATGATCCAAAATGTGATGATACAGTATCGATATCGGCGACTGCTGTGTGTCGATATATCACTAAGAGTACTTTTTGGCATATTTTACTGTATTATTTTGTAACAGCGCTACAGTTTTGTTTTCTTGTTTAGAGGAAGAACACTTGTTTATGCAACATTTTGGCTGTTTTAAAATGTTTGTGTTTCATACTAACTTTGCACAAGATGCGGTTTAACAAAAACTTTTAGTATCACAGTCATGATTTAGCATTTATTTTTATTGAACTGTATTGAATTGATTTGAAATATAAAGTATCAAATCGAAAGCTCACTGTACGAGATACGTATGTCATTAAGGCCTATGCACTGAGATATGTATCGTATCTGTAACTTCTTGACAACACCAAGCCCTAGTCGCAAGAGATTTTTTTTTTTTGTGTCGCCTTGTCACAATCTACATGTAGGTCTGCAATATTCAGTAGTTTACATGGATTTGTGACCTTATCGTCATTCTGGATAAGCATTTCGTCAGAATATCCTGTCCTCAGTCTAGGGCCAGGGTTTCTATGCTCATTCCTTTCACTAATACATTTACAGTATGTGTGAATCGGGATCTTCTGTGGTCACAAAAATAAAGGCAAAGCACAGAAACAGACTGAATGCTGAGCCTGATCTGCTGTTGCTCTCTCCGCCTGCACCCCGGATTGGAACATGCTAGACAAACACAAACAGGCCCACCTATCTCATTAGAAATGTTGAAATGTTAAGACATGTTTTGTATAATTTCTAATCTTTTTGTAATTATTTTATTTACTATTTTGTTTCAGTATTGCTGGTTCAATTGAATGTTGAAAAGAAAAAGAAATGGGCACATTTAATGCCCAAACAGGCGACTTAAGGATCCTTTTATTGCTGCTTCATTTACTGTTTTTCATTGTTTAAAACCTGAGTAAAACTAATTGTTTAAAAAGACACAATCACTCAGTCAACAATAAAATATCCTCATTTATGTTCAATAATGGTCAAATCTACCTTTTGTTTTGTGATTTACAGGTCCCCAGAAAAAATTTTAGGAATCACTGGTGTATGGAGTTTAAAAACACAGTGGAGCACTTCTCATATTACCACATGACATCACAAGGCGGAACAGAGTGTTTTCAGTCTGAGAGAAAAACTCAGCCTAAATTTGCAAGGCTTGTGTGTTAAACATGTGTAAATGAAACAAAACACAACTGTACTGGTGTGTAGAGAGTAAATGAATGTAATTAAAACTGTAAGCAGACAAAACTTTCCAATATCATGTTTCTTCTTCTTAGAACTAACCAAAATGAAAAGGGACATATTCCGCAAAATCAACTTTTGAGAGCTCCTGACCGCATAATTGTTATACCCTTCTCCTTTACCCACTCGGAGTTTTGTTTAGAGTGATTCATGGGTGTTTGAGTAATTTTATTCTACTGTATTCAAGACGTCATTGCTCCAACAAACCCCGTCTTTGTTGTTTTGGATCAATATTGCGTTTTAAAATGTCCAAAATCTAAAATAATGATCCACGGGTGTCATAAATTAGAACTACAAAACAGACAAAAGCACAACAAGTCTTCGTTATTGGTAGTTTAATAAGAAAAAAGCCATATAATAATGTCTCCTACTATGCAATTTACACATTTACCATGTTGTAATGTGGTTAGTTACATGTGCGTAATGCCCCCATCATTAAATATCCAATGTCACGCTGTTTTCTGAGCCTAAGTTATAATGTTTCCTCATCAAAAACAGACCAGGAGTTTCGTTTTGTTTCATTGACACGATCATGTTTTACACACAAATCCTGCATATTTACGCTGAGTTCTCTTCCCCCTTGTGATGCCAAGTGGTAATACAGGAAGTGCTCCATAGTCTCAGCTGGTCTAACAACACCAGTTGCATTGTGAAAAAGGGACACCAACGCCTATACTTCCTTAGGCGCCTCAAAAAAGCAGGTGTGGGCATCGCTGTCCTGAAGGCCTTTTACAGGTGTGTAGTGGAGAGCGTCCTCACCTCCAACATGACCGTGTGGTTCAGCAGCAGCACCACGGCAGAGAGGAAAGCTCTCTACAGAAGGTAGTTAGAGCTGTGGAGCGCAACTTGGGCTGTAGTCTGCCCTGCATTAAAGATATTTACATCAGCAGGTGCAGGACAAAAGCCCACAGCATCATGGAAGACTCCACCCATCCAGCACATGGACTCTTTACAGCTCTCCCATCAGGCAGAAGATTGCGCCATCTACAGGCCAGGACCACCAAACTACGGAACAGTTTTTATCCCGATGCCGTGTGACGGATCAATTCTGTCAGAAAGCCCAGACACTAATGCACCTTACAAAACAGCACTGACTTGGAACGCACTTTAGAAAACGGGGGCGGGTGGGGGCTGTGTTTTTTAAAGACTGTACTTGACATAAAATATTTTAACTATTTATTCTTATTATTATCTATGCTGCTGTTGACCTGGACCTGAATGCAGTATTTCGTTTCTGTGCATTTTTTATACTGAAATGACAAATAAATTTAGATTCTTTTGATTCTTTTCATTGTGTTTGAAACTCATTTGCATTTTCACTAGAATCATTTGGATAATTTCTGCCCCAGAATTGAAAACTTGAAAACTACAGCTTCATGGCATCACAAGGTGGAACAGAACATTTTGACTCTGTATCTGGCTGGCTCTAACAAGACTACAACAACTATTTATGCAGAAAAATGTATGTAAAGAAAACTTGTTAAACTTGTATCAAATTGTTTAATCTGGCTATTTTACATAAAAAATAAACATTTCCTTTCTGCCATTTCTGCCAAATTATAAATATTTGTAATCTAAATAAAATAATGAGTTTTGGTCAACTTAAGGTCTAGTCGCGTGGGATCAGTTTTGCCTGTGGACCTTCGGTGATTTGTAATAATTGCGGAGGATGTCTGAGATCTTAATCCCATCCGAAAGCGGCATGTCTGTAATTCTTAAAGTACAAATTTCGCCGCAAATTACCGACTATTTTTCACCAAACACAGACATCCGGTGATAATACAAGTCCCGTGTGAATCTGCATCTCAGTTTTGTTGCTGTAATTGCGCGTCTTTTCTATCTCTTTCTTTTTTTTCCGCATT